CCTCCCGGCTCCCCGACGGCGGGTACCTGTAGTAGGCCGGCGGGCCGGGCTCGTGCACGCCGTAGCCGCCCTGCTCGTTCTCCAGGTAGTAGGGCACCTGCTGGCCGTGCGGGTGCAGGAAGGGCGAGAGCTGCGGCGGCGGGTGCAGCAGCACGAGCGAGCTCGGGGACACGCTCGTGAGCGGCGGGAAGCCCGCCATGCCGTTAGCGCCGTACGCAGCCGCCTCGGCTCCGGGGCCGTAGGGGAGGCCGGGCTGGCCATAGCCCGGCGCGGAGGCGGCGGCCGCGGCGTTGAAGTCGTACGCGGCGCCCTCGGGGTAGTTGTACACGGCCGGCTTGCTGCTGTCCACATACATGTCGCCCAGGGGCCGCTCCAGGGGGATCTTGAGCTGCTGGCGGCTCAGGGGCTCCAGCTCGTTGCCTTGGATCTGGTGCAGCAGAGCCATGCCGGACGCTTTGGTGTGGAGGGTCATGGTCATGGTCAGTGGCCGCGGGCGACGTGCATATCTTTCTCTCCGTGAGGCAGAGGGCTCAGCAGCCGACGGGCCACCTGGAAAAAGAGCACGACCCGCGGTTAGAGGCGGCGCAGCGCATGTCCCACCGCGCAGCAGGCGCTGGCGCTGCCCGGGGAGCCGGCCCGGCCGGTGGAGCCCAGCGGCCGGACGCGAGCAAGTGCAGCCCCTGCGCGAGCGCGCGCTCCGCCAACTCGCGGTCTCCCGGGTCTCCAACTTTAAGTACTGGTCTCCCGAGCTCATATGCATTACAAAGGTCCTGGACGCCGGCCAGGGACTTGTTGCCTTGCACTGACATTGGCTTAAACATGACTCCAGGCAAAACTCGTTTTGGAGCGGTCCCAGGGAGCAGCTTCCCTGAACTTTACTTGTCGTCGCCGCTGGTTAGAGGCTGGATTTCACTGCGAGGGGGGCAGGAACGCTAAGGGATCTCCTAAAGGTGGCACAGGGAAGCGGGGCTTAAAACACACTCAGAAGACTAATCCAGGGGCTGGCGTTCTCCAATGCGTTGCCTTATGTGGCCCCTGCTAGACTCCAGTCTATCTCTGTTTGTCTCCCTTTCTGCTTGATTCACTTTCCTCGTTGGCTAGAAATATGTAGTGTGTACATAGAATGACCCTGGAGAGGACTACTGTGTAACTGAGATACGGCAGATAGAATGGGGCGTGCACTTGCACACGCAGCCAGCCGCAGACAGCTATATTTAGCAGCTCGAGGACTGATAGCAGGCCTGGGGTGGGGGTGGGGGGCGGTGCGGAAATTCCAGGTGTACTTAGAGAAAGAGATGCATTATTGCAATCAGAAGCGTGCCGCTGGACCTCAATTTCCTCATCTGCAAAATGCTCCCCCGGGTGATCCCTCCATCCCAGCGTTTCTGTTTGTGTTGGACCACGGTGCTATACTTGCGTCCATTAGAATTTCTCATGTGATGGATGATTCACAAAAACCTTTGGTTAGGGGCACATGGGTGGCCATGCCTTCCCGGGTTATGCAACCAAAACTTCAGGAAACTGCATAGGAAATGAGACCTTTTTTTTTTTAATACAAAGCTTAACCTCTGGTCCTTAACCAACCCTTTGGCAACTATGTTAGTTACACTGTTGGTCCTACCTATGCACAACACCTTTCAGTTCCTCAGCCCCAAGCTGGGACCTTCTCTGTTCACCTGGGCTACGATCTGCAGAATCAAATGTCCAGATGGAAGAGAAATAGAAAACAGTTTTGGAACTGAATTTAAGGTTCAGTGTGCACACGCATCAAATATCTATATACATACAGAATATATGCCCATTAGAGAAACAGCAGGTAAGTGCATCCTGAAGCCATAATCTTGGATAGTGTATACTTTTTAATAAACTTCTTTTCCTTCAGGCTAGTAGACTCTGACACAACCATTAACACTTGGCTTTCTTTAGTTGTTACCCAGACACTCAGCAGAATACCTCACAAAACGTTCATGGCAGATAGAAATGCCAAGGTTTCCATTAATAACAGCTAACGATTTTGACATTTTGGCATTTTTTTACACCAGTAAGAAATCCATTTTATCTAATTCTTATAAAACCAGACAGACCATTTAGGGGTTGTATGCAAATAAAAGCTGATTAACTATTAAGCCAAAATAAAAACTTAGCACCGCCAGTAACAACAGATGGTAAGCAAAGAAAGGGTTAAAAACACATTAGGTGAATTACAGATCACTCTCTTTATGGCTAGTAAGCATTACTTTCCAAAGCCTTTTTAAAAAAAAAAAGAAAAAAACTAAGAATTTAATTTCCGTAAATCATACTTTCGATTTTCAAATGCCATTTTTTGGAAGACAGGCAAAAGCACTTCACAGGGCTCTTAACCATGGGAACCTGCTCGATGATAAATGAACTGCCCGGAGAATCCTACAAGTCCTGAAAGACACAGGCGCCCAGCACACAGGCCCCCAGGCGAGCAGCAAAACCTCTTCTCCCTGCTAGGATACAGACACTGGCCAGCAAGGTAAGTTGTTTCCTCAAAATGCTAGAGCGACTGACAGAGAAATCAAAACAATCCTACCCTGCTGGATCAAGAGCGTCTTTCCAGAAATGTTCCATGGGCTTGGAGAAGTCAAGGGCCGAGACAGGGAGACTGCAGGCAGCAATGTGCTCGCCTGTGCAAGCAGTTCCGTGTGTGAGAGAGGCAGAGCGTGTGGGGCTGTGTTTGTGCATGGCATGGCAGGGATTCGGGAAGCAGCCAGTAGGCAGGGCACTTGGCAGCCCCTCCCGGCAGACACAGCAGCTGGGCTGCTGCTGCACAGAGCAATGAATGGCAGTGGGCAGTGCGGGGAAGCTTGCTGTCTGCCTGTGGAGAGCAGCGTGGCACAGCCTGGCGTACACGTTCCCGGGGAGAAGCAAAACTCTAGCCCCTTTTGCTCCTTATCCTGAGAGCCTGGAAAGTGGTCTCTGCCTTCCACTGCCATCTGATGCAACAGGCAACACAGGGTTGATGTAAATCATAGGACAACGGCTAAAATAGACACCAGTCAGAAGTGTGTGAGATCAACTTTACAGAATGTGGCATGAGTGGTTTTTCCTAACGAACATAATTTAACAATAAAAGCTTTCTAGGATGCTCTTGGATCAAACGCCTTGCTGGGCCTGACCCCTTGGCTCCGAGCACACACACTGTTGGCATGCCTCCAACTACACCAGGAAGCCAGACTTTGGAATAAACGTATGTCCGGCTGAGATGTGACATTCTAGGGACATATGTCCAGCTGAGATGTGATCCTGCACCTTATTAACCAAACCCATAAGCATTTATTTCCACAAAGAGCTCAGTCGACTGCGTTCTGTAAACATGTGAAAAAATATATATGACTAAAGCCAAGGGTATGAAGAGAAGACAAAGGTGGGGACCTTTGTTGTAAACCGAGTTTAGGCTTTTGGCTTATACAGGCATTGGTCATGGGAGGGGTCTCAATTTCCGCATAGCACCCCCGTGGGTCCACCTGGCTCTCAGCACTTCTCTTGACTGTGGTACTGATACATAATAATAAGGTGCTCCTAGAGACCCACACCCAAGGTCCCAGGATATGTGACACCCAGTGATGCCATGTGTTGCCAGATATTAGTCACAGCCTTGAATATTAAATGGCGCTGGTCACAATGCCAGGTGTGGCCAGTCTCTGACCTGGGACCCTCTACAGTTGCCAAGAGATTTCTGACTATAACGAGCAAAAGCTACAAAAGGGCCATGATATTATAATGCAACTAAATATATTTTGTGCTTAAAAATCAAAAACCAAACTCACTGCCATTGAGTCGGACCCGACCCATAGTAAACCCCCACCCCCGCCTTGGGTTTCCAAGGCAGTATCACTATGGAAGTAGATTGCCCAACTTCCTTCCTTCCGAGGAGTGGCTGGTGGGTTTGAAATGCCAGCCTTCTGGTTAGCAGTCAAATGCCTTAGGCGCTGAGCCACCAGAGCTCCTATTGTACTTGGAAAACCAAAATTACAACAGTGAAGCACAGAAGAGCTCCTTCCCAATTAACAATAAACAAAAATGCTGAGGGGGGACCTTTGTTGGAGACAATGATGAATCCTGGCTCCTCCTTTAGGGTAGCAATGGCCACCCATGAAATAGGCCAAGCAAAAATCAAGCAAGAATGTGGCAGGAAGGAAGGGAGGGCAGGGAGGACAGGAAAGGGAGGGGAGGGGAAGGGAGGAAAAAAGGAAAGAAAGGGAATAGGGCATCTTCAAATAGTCCCCAGATGTGTGTCCAAGCAAAACTGTGCCCCCGAGGGTTTTCACTGGCTGATTTCTCAGAAGCGGATCTCCAGGCCTTTCTTCCAAGGTGCCTCTGGGGGGACTAGATCCTCCAGCTCACTTCATGAACCGTTTCATCACCCAGGGGCTTGAGGCTTACCGATTGGAAGCAGCCTCGGAGTTGCCTCGCAGCCCTTCCATCTCTTCCCTCTCTGCATGATCACACTGACATGCTCATCCCTGCCCTAGTTTCCTCAACCTTCCGAGGTATGAAGGTTCACCTCTGAACATATCACAAGACCCAATCTTCCAGCGGCCTCCTGGATAACCCACCTGCAAGGCTTGTTGGCTTATTCAAAATAGACACCCTTATTCTCTCCCCCAACATGATGCTTTTCTCGATGTTCCTACCAACATCATCCCTGTCCTCCTAGAAAACTGAATTAAGCTCTTAGCCTTCTTTGAGTGTGCTGGCTTTCCCTCACCTTCCCTACCAGACCAAAAAAAAAACCAAACCCACTGCTGTAGAGTCATATCCAACTCATAGCAACCCCTCCTTGGGTATCCGAGGTGGTATAGCGTAGTGCCTAAGGCACCTGACTGCTAACCAGAAGGCTGGCAGTTCAAACCCACTAGCTACTCCTTGGAAGGAAGGTTGGACAATCTACTTCCGTAGTGATACAGCCTTGGAAACCCAAGGAGGGGTCGCTATGAGTCGGGTCCGACTCCATGGCACATAAGAACAACAACATCACTATGGAAGTAGATTGTCCAACCTTCCTTCCAAGGAGTAGCTTTGAACCACCAGCCTTCTGGTTAGCAGTCAAATGTCTTAGGCACTACACTACTGATCAGGGACCAATTCCTGGCCATTCTAACTTTGCAACTTCTTCCCCCTACACTCCCATCCCACTTCTACTACCCTCTTTCAGGTAGTTTACCTTTGTTGTTTAAGTACCTCTTAATGGTCTCTCTGGGAGCTCTGGTGGCGTAGTGCCTAAGGCATGTGACTGCTAACCAGAGGGCTGGTGGTTCAAACCCACCAGCCACTCCTGGGAAGGAAGATTGGACAATCTACTTCTATAGAGATACCACCTTGGAAACCCAAGGAGAGGTCACTATGACTCAGAAACAACTCCACAGCACTGAGTTTGTTTTTGTTTGTTTATTGGTTGGTTTTTTTGGTTTAATAGCCTCTCTGCCTCTCTTCTCTGACCTCTCCCACCCCACATCCTGCTGCTTGTTTATTTCATTGGCTTTTACTGCTTCAGAACTCATTTCCTCATGACCCAGCT